GATCATATTCAAGCTTATTTCTTTCAACTCCTTTTGTGAGAATATCAGCTAGTTGTAAATCAGATGCAACATATGATAGGCACACTTCTCTAGATGTCACCCTTTCTCTTATGAAATGTCTATCCACCTCTATATGCTTTGTTCTATCATGCTAAACTAGGTTATGAGCAATGTTAATTGCTGCTTGATTATCACAGTAGAACATCATAGGTTCTTCTATATCAACTCCAATCTCTCCTAATAAGGGCCAAACTCAGAGAAGCTCCAAAACACCATGTGCCATAGCTCTGTATTCAGCTTCCACACTTGACCTGGCTACAACTGATTGCTTAAAACTTTTCCATGAAATCAAATTACATACAACAAGAGTGCATACTCCTGATGTAGATTTCCCATCACTTAGGCACCTTGCTCAATCAGCATTTGTGCAAACTTCTAGCTTCAAATGTTCATGGTCAGCAAACAATGTTCCTTTGCCTGGATGTCCTTTCAAAAAGGCAAGAATCCTGCCAATGGCTTCCTAGTATTGAACTCGTGGGGCATGCATGTACTAACTCACCACACTAATTGCACAGGAGATATCTGGTGTTGTCATGCACAAAGATAACAACTGATCCACCAATCTTTGATACCTCCTGATGATGCGCAATCTGGTCGCTCCATCATGTCTGGTGACTTGGCTCGAACGGGGTTCCGATCTGGCAGGGCCGAGCTGATGCCTGCATGTCGAAGCTGAAAGCGAGCTGCAAGGAGAGAAGGGTGAGAGTGCCCGGGTAGGTTTTACCCGGGGAGAACACTCCGATGCTTAAGTCAGAAAGGTGGTATTGAAATCTCTTGAGAGTGTGAGAGAGCTAGAGTATATTAGTGCACATACCTTTTTGGTTGGGTTTGGAGTCCTTTTATAGTTTATTTGGGGTTCTAGTCCCTTGGGAAACGTCTCTCAGCCTTTAGCGGAGCTATTTCCACAATATAAGGCACGTTACCGTTTCAGTTGTTAGATTCACGCGGTGGTTGCAGGTTGCTTGCGGGACTTGTGGCGCACGGTTCGGCGAGCTGCTCCCATGGTCGCGATGGCGGTGCCTTCGAGGGCAAGGCGCGTGAAACAGTTTGGGCGAGCTCGCATTATCGGTTGCTGAAGCTCATCCCAGCTCGGCCGTCTTCCTGATGATCCGCGCGAGGTGGTCCGGGTTAACCCGTCAAGCATGCCTGCTGACTTGGCGCTGTGCTATCGATAGCGTCCACGTGTCGCTCTTTGTATGGGGGGACCAAAATGCCCCTCATCACCTCCCAACATCCTTCACTAGCTCACCATCTGAATCATTAATTCTATGATTCTAGTCAATGGGTGTATCAACTGGTTTAATCCCAATCTTTTCGGTCTCTTGTAGTAGGTCCAACACATACTTCCTCTAGGAAATGAAGATCCCATGTTTGGACCTTGCCACCTCAATGCCCAGAAAATACTTCAGCTCCCCAAGATCTTTAATCTCAAACTCCAACTATAAGTTTTTCTTCAATGCATCCATTTCACTCAGGTCGTTTCCTGTGACTATAATGTCATCCACATACACTATCAACACTAACACCAATGATCCCCTTCTCTTTACAAATAAAGTATGGTCAGACCGGGTTTGAATATATGCAAACACAACCAATGCACTCCTAAACCTGTCAAACCAAGCTTTGAGTGATTGTTTCAAATCATATAAGGATTTCTTCAATCTACATACCTTTCCTTTGGTCACATCACTACAAAAACCAGCTGGAAGGTCCATGTACACCTCCTTCTGCAAATCTCTATTAAGAAAAGCATTCTTCACATCAAGTTGGTAGAGAGGCCAAGAGTAAGTAGCTGCTAGAGATAAGAGGATCCAAACTGAACTCAACTTGGCTATTGATGCAAAAGTCTTCAAGTAGTCTATCCCATAATTCCGAGTGTACCCTTTTGTTACCAGCCTTTCCTTATATCATTTTATGCTTCCATTACCCCTAAATTTCACAGTATAAACCCATCTGCAACCAATTGTCTCCTTCCCATCAGGTAGATCCACAATTTCCCATGTTTGATTTTTAATCAAGGTTGCCATTTCCTCTTGCACAGGAGTCTTCTACTCGGGTTTGGAGAGAGCTTGACTAACAATCCTAGGTATAGACATAGAGTCAAGAGAAGAAAGGAAGGATCAATAGGAGAGAGAACCCACTTTAAGAAAGATGATGTGAGATACAATGGGCTGTCCATTTTTTCTTCCCCTTTTGGGGTGCAATAGGAAGGTCTAGGTCATTTGCAATGGTGTTAGGAACAAGGGTGGTAGTATCAACAGGAACTGAAACATCAAATGGAGGAAAAGGCATACCTAGGTCTGTGTTAGTTGAACCTAGAATCTTAATGAACTAATGGGAAGTGGCGTAGGTTCCTCTGTTGTGAAATTAATCTCTCTATGTTGTCGTAGGTGCTGACGTGTAAAAAACTAAGTAATAGGACATAGTAGAGTAGGCAAAGTAGGTGGAACAAATTTAGACATTGGAGTAAGCAAAAGAGCTAGAACAGGAAGTGGTGTGGGTTGCTCATTTCCTCCCCTAAAACACTCCCCCTGAGAAAGACTCCTTGAAAAGAAAGGTGTGGACTAAAAGAAAGTGACACCCATGGTGACATACCGACTCCTTGACATTGGATCATAACAACAATATCCCTTTTGATTTCCTACATGCCCGAGGAATACACACGAACACTAGAGGGTACTCGATTAATCAAGAAGACTACTGCAAGAACTGCATCACCCCAAAACCAAACTGGAATTGTAGAGCCCACCATCATACTTCTTGCCACTACTGGAATTGTAGAGCCTACCATCATACTTCTTGCCACACCCACAATATGTTTGTTCTTCCTTTTTGCAACACCATTCTATTGTAGAGCCCACCATCATACTTCTTGCCACATCCCCCCTTACTTGTAGTGGAGGCATAATTTGTAGTGGCATATGAACTACCTGTATGTGCAAATGAAGTAGAATAACTAGCTTCACCCACACCTTGCGGTCCACTTACACCTGGCCGTAACTGCAACTGCTGCAAGTGACTCTAAAGAAGCTATAGTAGGTGGTTCAGATAAATCACCAGCCACTGCCATAATAGCATTCCCTTTCTTGGTACAAGGTGTGGGTGAAGCTTCCAATAGGTATCTCTGGTATGCTTAGGTATTAGTCACAGATCAAGTCCTTGTCCTCCTTCCTATCATCACTACCACCCTTATCCCTACTAGGCTTAGGTTTCACTATACTGACCATAGTTGACTGCTCAAGGTTTAAGTTTCTCATCATCACATTCCTCCTACTTTCTTCTCCAGACACAAAGGCATATGCTCGAGAGAGAGTTATATTATCACGAGAGAGAATGCATTGTCGTGCAATGTCATACTCTGGGTTGAGTCCTGCTAGAAACCCGAACACTATATTCTTCTCTACCAGTTTCTTATATGTGACCACATCTTACTACTCTCCCAAACCACAACCTCCAAATGGTCTATCTCTACAACTCCATCCCAGATCTCCTTAGCTGTGTTAGCTATAAAAAGTTCTTGCTTATATGGGGAAACATAGAATTGCACAACCAGGTCAATCACCATGTAATTCTCTTGTACCTAGTGGGTAGTCTCAGGCTTGTTCTCTTCACTAGTGACATGCCCCAATTTTCCCCGAGCACCAATAGCCATTTTTTCTGATTGGGACCACTCCAAGTAGATTGTACCATCCAACTTAACTGTAGTTATGGTTCCTGCTCTAAAAGGGTCACTAAGACCTACTCTACCTAGTTCTATTTCACCTGTAGTCTTGTATTCAACTCCACTACCCTCCATAATTCCCAGAATAGCTTAGGAAATCTATTGTAGATTAGGAAAAATAGATTTACCCCCTTTAGAGGCCTCAACCACCCTTTTGGAGCTTAGAAACCTTTGCCCACAAAGATTCCTTTCTCTGTGGGAAAAGGTAGAAAGAGGAGAAAAGGTTGCCACTCCCCCCAGAGACCTCAGAAAACTGCAAAATTTGAACTGCCCTCTTTAGAAATCACCAAGAAGTCCAAAAAATCCAAAACGCCCCTTCCTAGGTCAATATTGAAGAGTCCTATTGCAATTAGGACTCTTCTTCCTCCTGTTCTTCCTTATTTCGATGATCAACCCAAGATCTGACGCAAAGGGTTCTAGATCCACCAAAAAATCCAAGAACTAGGCACTTTTGAAGTCATTGATCAGCTCTTTAATGCACCATGTAGTCGGCTGATCTAGGGCTGCATGATGGAAGACTAAAAAATCCCCAAAAAACTGCTCTGGTACCAAGTAGAAAAGAAAAAAAAAACAATAATCTGATTTTAGAACAATGAGAAAGAAGAGAGAAAGAGAGAGATCTTAGTGAGAAGAGAAGAAGAGATGGGGAGAAGCAAATAATGATCTGGACACCCCACTCATTATCTTATATACTCATAAAAAATATTAATTACAAAGACAAAAATGCCCTTAATGGGTGGCTACTGTTCATAACACAAAAACAGCTCCAAAAAAAAACAACATAAACTAATGGACCTTGGGCCCAGTAACACTAACTAATGATTAAAAACAAGAAAAACATAAGAAACTGTTGGATTTCAACAATTAGTCATAGGTGACCGGGGGTGTAACAGTATTTTTAATGTAAGGTTGAATCGATATATAGCATTGCTCATGATTCTTTATCCCAACAAAACTCTTCTCTTGCTCTCTTGTTTCTCTCTTCTTCTCTTTTCTATTATTTTACAAATTATAAATTAAAGTATTCAAGAATTGGTGTCTATCCAAAATTGTTTTTTTGACAATCCACCAAAGAACTCCATAAATCATATAATGTTCAGCTACATTAACACATTTTCAGCTCTATTTAAAACTGATACATCAATATTATTTCAATGTATCAATGTTCATAAATAAAAAACAAGTCATGTAAACCCCTCAGAAGTTCTGGTGACAATACCATGGCCGTTTTTCCTTGTCCTAAAGAGAAATCCCAAGCAATATATGAGTTAATGGATTCCACCATCAAAGAGACCTGGCAAAATGTAAGGCAGCCAAGGGAGTTGTTCAATACAAGATATCAATAATTTCCAATATGAACACTAGAAACCTAATTTTATAAGCTAGAATAAAACGTTACAATTGAGATTGAGACCAAAGAGGCAAAGAAATTGCTTGTTTGGCATCTTGTAAAATAACAACTAAATTACTGAGAGAAGATAATAGCCGTGAAACACAACTATAATAAAAAAGTATAAGATATAGCTTAATTGAGAACAACTAAAGATAAAATGGAAAACAAGAACAGAAAATTGCTTAATAATCATAGTCACTAAATCAAATGCTCAGAATACAAAAATGGTGAACCATGACAATGATATTCAAACACGTATCTCATGTGCATAGTTCAAGTGGATAGAAGATCAATAAAGACAAAATTCACTATCAGTACAGGTATGGCACAATGAAGTCCAAGATAAGCATAAACATTATGAAAAAAAAATGATAAATACATAAAACATATTGATGCATCTACAATAAGGTATAACAGAAATTATGTGCTTCATGAAAGAATAAAAGTAAAGGTCAAATGAAAAGGAAAGGCATGGTTGACATAGGATATAAAGAAGATCCTATGATAAGTTTAAAGGCTGAAGAGGGAATTGGTAAGTTTAAAGAAGAATTTAAAGTCACAACATTAAATCAATTAATTAATTAAAAAATTACTTAACTGCAGAAAATAAAAAAGACAAAAGACAAAAGAAACAAAACTAGGGTTTACTGTAAAGAAGATTACAGAAAGAAGCACAGTTATAAGAAAAAAGAAAGACAATAAAGTCCAAGACAGCAACCAATCAACCTGGAAAGTGGACAATATCCAGATGGTTGAAATTCCAGGCTAAACAGGAAAAGATAATTTATAGACAGTTTTAGGGGTTGGTCGGCCCTCCTACTAGAGCACTTTCATAAAGGAAAAAAGATAAACTTCAGTACAACTTAAGGTCCAAGACAACATGTGGACCCCCCCTGGATAGCCATTAGATACTACATCTTCTAAATAGCGAACAATAGTTTTCTAAAATCTAAACTAATGGAAAACCTAGTAAAGAATTAAAGAATTTACAATTAAAAAACCTCTGAAATTTTGGAAATTTCTTAAAACTGCAGAAACACCCTCATGAGTCCTGATTATAACTTTCACCCCTCTCAAGCTCCTCCACATAATATTTCAAGAATTTGGTCATCTTCCAGACTAGCACAAAAAAAGCAAGTAACAAGATGTAGAAAAAAATTAGTGAAAACCATTTTACAAAATACAGCAATCTATACTAGGAGTGGCAAATGGATGGATTGGGTGCGGGCTGAATGCCAACACATCCATTAACAACCCACACCCAATAATGACCCATACTAATCATAAGTTATTAGATTGCAATCCAACCTAACCCACCCACTTTGACCCATTTACCTGAAATTGACAATACTCTGTATCTCTATATAATGACATGGTTGGCACTAGATTGGGCCAACCCATAAACCTGAAACAAATTCTACTGGTGCCATATCAACCTGTAGACCTGGAAAAGAGACCCAATTTAAAAGAATATATACAAATAACTATTGGGCCTTTTCCTGAAGATCCAAAAAAGGTCGAATTAAAAAACAGAATTTCATTATTGGGGCCTTGGCCTAATGCCATGTGGCGACACCCATTAGTGTAAATAAAACACCATGAATGATATTTATTCATGGCATTCAGAAAAAAATCAAATGAATGTGAACCGCTTGAATCTGTCAACACTTTTGTCTGAATAGAGAGAAGAACAAGAATAATCTTAGAGGTGTCAAGAATGAATGACCCCCACCTCAAAGAGTCTCTTATATATTAAAAGATATGTACAATTACAAGAATGCCCATATAGGGCTGAAAGAGAAAAGAAGAATAAGAAGCATAAGTAATGTACAACAAGGACTATACTAATAAGATACATCAAGTTATAGAGTCTCCACACCCCCCCAAACTGATGCCTAGGCATAAGCATCAGTTTGTCTATAAGAAAGAGATGTCAAATTCTAGTCATAGCTTTGGTGAAGACATCAGCAATCTGCATGTCCGAGGCTACATGAGGAAGTGATATAGACCCAGTAGTGAAGAGATCTTGGATAAAGTGGCAGTCCACCTCGATGTACTTGGTCCTCTCATGGAAGACAGGGTTAGATGAAATCTTGATAGCACTCGTATTGTTTGCATAGAGAGGAATAGGAGTAGGGAGCTGAATGCCAAGATCCATAAAGAGAGATTGTAACCAAACAATCTCACTGCAAACTGAAGACATGGCCCTATACTCTGCTTCAATGGAAGACTTGGAGATTGTTTGTTGTTTCTTACACTTCTAAGAGATGAGTGAATCACCCATAAAAACACACCACCCAGAAGTGGACCTACGAGTGTCTAGACAACCAACCCAATCCACATCAGCATATGCTCTCAACTGAATAGGAGAGGAGGAGGAGAAGAACAATCCCTGGGAAGTTGTGCTTCTAACATATCAAATGATGCGATGAATAGCAATCATATGAGGCTGACGAGGAACAGAAACAAATTGACTAACAACCTGAACAACATGAGAAATATCAGGCCGAGTCATAGTGAGATAAATGAGGGACTCCACAAGTTGGCAATATAAGGCAGCATCAGGAAGTAATAGACCTTCAGATTTAGATAGCTTAAGATTTAGCTCCATAGGTGTATCAACATGCTTTTCATCATTAAGACCAGCAAGTTTAACAAGGTCAGAGGCATACTTCTGCTGACAAACAAAATACCCTCAATTACTACGATGTACTTCCAGTCCCAGGAAATATGTGAGAGGGCCCAAGTCCTTCATGTGAAAGGAATTATGAAGTAATAGTTTCAATTGACGAATGCCTTCAGCATCATTCCCAATCAACATGTCATCAACATATAGTAGGAAAATGGTAATACCCTAAGGCCGTCGCCTAACAAATAAAGAGTGATCAGAAGAACTCTGGCTATATCCAACAACAACTATAACATAGCGAAAGCGTTCAAACCATGCCCGGGGAGCTTGTTTTAGACCATATAGAGAGTTTTTGGGGCGACATACTAAAGAAGGATCACTGCAGTATCCAAGAGGAGGCCTTATGTAGACCGTCTCCTTCAACTGACCATGAAGAAAGGCATTCTTCACAGCAATCAGGCATATGGTCCAAGATTGAGCAGCAGACGCTGCTAAAAGAACATGGACTGTGGTGCTCTTTGCAACAGGAGTAAAGGTTACCATACTCTTGACTATATCCTTGGGAAACTAAACGTGCCTTGTATCGATCAAGAGATCCATTAGACTTCAACTTAATGTTCTAAACCCAACGACTCCCAACAATGGATGCATCTGGAGGAGCAGGCACAAGATTCCAAGTGTCATTCTCATGTAAAGCATGAATCCCTGCATCCATGGCTTCCTTCCAATGAGGGCTACTATTAGCTTCCTGGTAGGAGCAAGGAACATCTGTGGAGGATAGGACAGCAGACAAAGAGCTATGGTTTAAAGGAAAACCATAGCAGTTAGGAGGTCTAGATATATGAGTAGAATGACGAAGAGGAACAAAAGTATGAATAGTGTCTAAAGTAGAGGTATCACTTACAGGAGCAGTGAAAGGATGAAGATCTGAACCGGGAGGAAGGAGAGTTGCAGGCGCAGGGGCTGGAGCACGTAACCGCTTGCGAGAGAAGACGAGAAAGTCCTTAGCAGAAGGAGGTGGGGCATCCTGTGAATCAAAGTTTGGCAAAATAGAAACAGGCGGTGCAGACAGTCTAGCAATTCTAGCAAAAAATGAAATGTGCTCAAGGAAAACAACATTACGTGATATACATATGAGACGAATAGAGGGATCATAACAAAGAATTCTTTGTGGACAGAACTATAACCCACAAATGCACACATGACAGACTGTGCAGACAATTTAGAATGTTCACAAGTGGGAAGATGAACAAAGCACACATATCCAAAAACATGAAGCATAGATAAATCTGGAGAACGACCAAATAACTTCTGAAAGGGAGACATATTACCAAGAACTGAGGAAGGAATATAGTTGATAAAAAACACAGCTGTACTGGCTGCCTCTACGCAAAAGAAAGGTGGAGTATGGGACTCCTGCAATAATGTCCTCACAACACTAAGGCTATGTCCATTCTTGTGCTCAACCACACCATTCTATTGAGGAGTATCTAGACAACTTCGTTGCACTTGTATTCCATGGTCGTTCAAATAGGATAAAAAATCTACATCAGTGTATTCTCCCCCTGAATTCGAACGAAGAATACGCACTTGTGATTGAAACCGAACCCGCACCATAGCATGAAACAACTTAAATGTTGGGAACACCTCAGACTGGTGGTGAAGAAAGTATATCCATGTGTACCTGGTACAATCATCAATGAACGATACAAAATATTTGTATCCAATCTGAGAAGAGACAGAAGCAATCCAAACATCACTATGTATAAGCTCGAAGGGAGAGGTAGCATGCTCAGATATGTGAGGAAATGGTAAGGTATGACTCTTACTTAAGCAACAAGAAATACAAGATGTATCAAAGGAGTGCAAGGTAGGAATTTTATTCTTAATAAGGCCTGAATCAAACAAAAATTTTAATTTTTCAGA